TTTTTTTTGTAATAGTAGAATAGCTGTTAGTAACAGAAAACAGGATTTTCCATGTAAAAATGACTATATCATGTGCAAATATAGTAAGTGTTTCTTGTTCCCTCCAAGTCTGGATGTATTTTACTTTACTATTGGCCTAGCTGGAACCTCTAGAACAACATGGAAGAGAAGTTGTGAGAGTACTCATGTTTCTTTCTTGTTCCTGACCTTATGGAAAAGCATTCCCTCTTTCACAACTGAAATGATTTTGGCTGTGGGGTTTTCACCAGGCCACTGGTTAGGCTCAGAGAACTCGTCTGTTACTAATTTCTTAATTTTTTAAAATCATGGAAGTGTGTGGGATGTTGTCAAGTTACTTTTCCGCAGAAATTAGATGATTATGTATTCTTGTTCCTTATTCCAAAATGTTATGTTGTATTATATTTATTGATTTTCAGCTATTAAAACAACTTTTTTGGATAATTGCTATTTTATCTTGGTGAATGATCAATTTTAGGCAATTGGCTTTAGTTTGGCAGTGTTTCCTTGAGGATTTTTGCATCTGCATATTTAAGTGGAATTTAAGTATGTAGTTTTCTTTTGAAATCTTTGGTTTTGGTATCAGGAAAATATTGACCTTACACAATGAGTTGGGAAACACACTCTCTCTCTCTCTCTCCCTCTCTCTCTCCCCCTCTCTCTCATTTGGCAGAATTTCGAATAACAAATAGTACTTTTTATTTAAAAATTTCATAGAAATTACCAGTGAAACCATACAGACCTGGGTTTTATCTTATGTGATTGTTTTAAAATAACTAATTTTCTTCATCACTATAAGCCTATTCAGATCTTCTCTATTCTTGAGTAAATTTGGTAGTTTGTGTTTTCCTAATAATTTGTTTCATCTAAGTTAACTGATTTTTTCACATGTGTAGTTGTTCATAATATTCCCTAACAATCCAGGTTACTTCTGTTACTCAGTAGTAATGTCTCTCTTGCCCCTGTCCACTCTAGTAACATTATAACTTAAATTCTAGTAATTTAAATTCTCTCTCTTGTTTTCTCTGTCAGTTTTACTGGATTTGTTAATTTTGTTAATCTTTTCAAAGAACTAACTTTTGGTTTTATTCATTTTCTGTTGTTTTTATAATACCTACTTTATGAAATTCACTATAATGTTTATTTTCCTTCTCATTAAATTAGATTTAGTTTTCTCTTCTTTGTCCAGTATCTTCAGATGGAAGGTTAGGTTATTGATTTAAGACTTCTCTTCTTTTTAAAATACAGACAGTTAGAGCTATAAATTTCCCTCTACACATGGCTTTAGCTGCATCAAACAGGTATTGTTTTCATTCATCTCTTTTTAAATTTCCCTTATGTTTTTTCTTCTTTGTCAAACTAGAAGTGTAAGAATTTCTACCTATTTATAATATTCCATGATTTGTTTTTGCTATTGATTTCTAATTTTATTCCATTGTATTTAGAAGGATATTTTATATGATTTCAATAAAAATTTAAGTTTACCAAGGCTTGTTTTACAGGTAGCATGTTGTCTATACTGGACAATGTTCCATGAGTGCTTAAGAATAATATATTCTGCTATTATTGAGTGGAGGATCATTTGATTTGGGTTTTATTTTCCCCCAAGTTTTCTATTTTCCTGATCATCTTTGGCTCAATTAGTCTACCCATTATTTAAAGTAGAACTTTGAACCCTCCAACTGTTATTCCTCATTTGTCTATTTTTTTAATTCTGTCAGGTATTCTTTATGTATTGTGGGATGATATTATTAACTGAACACATAATTTTTTATCTCTTTAAACATTATAAAAGGTTCTTATCATTATAAAAGTTCTTTTATCTCTAGTAGCCCTTTTTCTGTAAAGTGTATTTTTTTCTGATATTAGTACATCTCCTCTGGTTTTCTATCGTCCTTCCTTCCATAGGATATCTTTCTCCATGCTTTTATTTTTAAACTATCTTTCAATCTAAACTTTAGACAGCATATCAATAGACCTTTTTTGTTATTGTTACCCATTCTGATAATAATCTGCCTTGTGGTGTATTGTTTATACCGTGAACATTGAATGTTGTTATTGATAGTTAGATTTATATATCTCATTTTACTTTTGATTTTTGTGTTTCATTTCATTTCTGTTTTCTTTCCACTCTCATTCTGCTTTCTTTGATATTAGCAAATATTTTGTATTATATCATTTTAATTCCTTTCTTATTTCATTATAATTTTGTGGCAAAATATACACATAATTTGCCATTTTAAGCCATTTAAAATGTAATTTTTTATGGTTATTACTTAAATCCATGAAATTGAACAATCACCACCAACCTCTACTTTCAAAAATTTTCCTACTCCTGGAGGGGAGGAAAAGGGGAAATACTGAGGGATGATACTGGACAAATTATATTGCTATATTGTATGAATGTACAAATATGTAACAAGAAACCCCACCATTATGTACAACTATAATGCACCAATAAAACGTGTGGGAAAAAAATGTTCCTCATCCCAAGGAGAAACATGTACTCATGAAACAATAAGTCTGCATTCCTCTCCTTCTCTTACCCTTGTAACCTCTGATTTACTTCTTGTCTATGAATCTGCCTGTTATCAATATTTAGTAAAACTGGGATCATACATTTGCCAACTTTATGGTTTATTTCACTTAGTACAATGTGATCCATGTTGGATCATGTAATAAAACTTCATGTATTTGTACATTTTTTATTGTAACTGTACAGAAATAGAGTCAAATTTTGCATGTTGATTTTATATTCTGCAACTTTGCTAAATTCATTTATTGTTTCTAACAGTTTTTCCTTCCTAGATTCTTTAGGGTTTTCTGTAATTAAAGCATCCAAGAATAGAGACAGTTCTTTTCTTTTGAATTTGGATGACCTTTTTCCTTTTCTTGCTTAATTGCTCTGGCTAGAACACCCTGTACTATGAAAAGTATTAGCATATCTGTCATGCTCCTTATCTCAAAAAAGAAACTTTAATCATGGAGTAGGATGGTGGCTGTAGGTTTCTCAACATGTGGCCTTTATTATATTGAGAAAGTTTTACTCTGTTCCTAGTTTATTAAATATTTTATTATCATGAAAGATTTTCTTTTTTTCAATGTTTCTTTAACATCAATTGAGATGACCACGTCTTTTTCCTCTTTCATTCTGTTAATCTTGCATAACACATATTGAAATGCTGAGCCACTCTTGAAATCCTACACGGTATATCCCAATAGGTTTTGATGAATAATCCTTTTATTGTGCTTCACCATAATTTTCAATTTTTTTTTCTTCAGTGATTGCTCTAGGGCTTACAATGTATATCTTGTAAAAATCTGCTTTATATTTACACTAATTTAATTCAAGTGTGATATATAAATGGTACTTCCGTATAGTTCTATTACTTCTACCTGTTTTGAGCTACTGTTATACTAAACCCAATATTCCATTGCTTTAATTAGAAACTCTGTGCTCATCTAATTATGATTTTATAGTGTCTTTTAAAGCACCTGAGAAAAGAAAAAAGTATGTATTCATATTAACTCTTTGTGTTCCTGAAATCCATGTTACCACCTAGTCTCACTTCCTTCTACCCTTACAGCTTTCCTCCCTCCTGTCTCCTCTGTGCTGTTACTTTCAAATACACATCTCCAGAGCCAACAACACACACACACACACACACACACACACACACACACACATTCACACACATTATAGTTTTATATAATTTCTTTTTTATATCAGTTAAAAAAAAAGTAAGGATAAGAAATATACCACTATACTCTTTTTTATAGCTACCCACAA